CTGGCAGTGCTCAAAGCCAGGTTGGATGAAGCCTTGAGCAACCTGCTCTGGTGGGAGGTGTCCCTACCCAGGACAGGGTGTTGGGATTGGGTGATCTCTAAGGTCCATTCCAACCCCTTAACATACTATGATATGGAGCATTTCAGGGCTTTTCTTGGGAGATTTTGGGGAGGTTTTCCTCAAAGGAGAAAGCTTTCTGAAACCAGACTGGCAGAGTGTGCCAGATACTTTTAACTTAGGTGGAGTAAACAATTCTTTATGGATTCTCAGTTTAGTTTTAATGACTTGAGAATCTTTCAGGATCCAAAGCTAAAGCATGAGGTGCCTCTGTAGTTTATCAGCTGAACTCTTCCTCCCAGATTCATTCCCAGCACAAAGCTAGAGCACATCTGACACTGTTAGCACATGCCCTTCAACTCCTAATGATCATCCAAAAGGGATTAACTAAAAACCCTGACCCCTAACCCTAAACCCTAACCCTAAGGTCCAGTGGAAGGTGTCCCTGCCTGTGCTCAGGGGGGTAGAAGTAGATAATCTTTATGGTCCCTTCCAACCCAAACTATTCCATGACTATGATCTCCCAAGTCCCCTCTGTTATTTCCTGGCCCTAGGAATGCTCATCCACAACACAAAGCCAAACAGCTTGGCTTAAAGCACCAGAAAGAGCTCAGAGAATTTACTAAGCTGAGCCTAAAGGTTCCCATCTTGTGTGTGTGCAAGTGCTTCCATTTCCCAAACCTCTGGGTTAAACTCCTGTCTCACTCTGGCATGACGTGAAGTTCTGGCACGATCTGAGAGCTGACACTGAGCTCTCAGCCATGGGGCTGGAGCACTGCCCACTGTTTGCCCACTCCTTCCCTGCCAGGCACTGCAGCACAGGGCCAGGTGATGCTGAGCTCTCCTGCTGCCACAGTCCCAAGGTCTCCTCAAGGTGGCTGTGCAGACAGAGTCATCACAAGGAGCAGCTGCCAGGCTGTGCCTGTCTGCCTCTGTACTCAGCTAAATAATTAATTGCATACTGTGCCCTGCTTTAGGAGTGGACTGTGCTTGGAGGCTCCTGCATCTCTCCTCTGCATCTCCACTGAGGCCTGAGACAGAGGCATGAATTTCTGCTTTACTTAACAGCTAAATTAAACTTTTTTAAAGAAATCTGATCATGTGGTACCTTTGGAGTTGTGTTTTACAGATCTGACTGTGACTCTGGGAGCTCACCCTTGTTCTCCAGAAGCTCTGAGGTCTACCAGTCCTGTGCTTACAGGGATCATAGTCCCACAGTATGTTAAGGGGGTGGAATGGACCTTAGAGATCATCCAGTGCCACCTCCTGCCCTGGGCAGGGACTCCTCCCACCAGAGCAGGTTGCTCGAAGCTTTAGCCAATCTGACTTTGAACACTGCCAGGGCTGGGGCAGCAACAGCCTCCCTGGGCAACCTGGGACAGTGTCTCACCACCCTCACAGGGAAAACTTCTGCCTAAGATCTCATCTCATTTTCCTTCCTTCAATTTCTTCCCATTGCCCCTTGTCTTGTCACTACAGTTCCTAACCCAGAGTCCCTCTGCAGTTTCCCTGGAGCCCCTTCAGCTCCTGGCAGGTTGCTCTGAGGTCTCCACACAACCTTCTCTTCTCCAGGCTGAACAGTCCCAACTCTCTCAGCCTGTCCTCATAGGGAAGGTGCTCCAGTGCTCTGATCAGCTATGTGGCCTCTTCTGGCCTTGCTCCACCAGTTCCATGTCCATCTGATGCTGAGGACACCAGAACTGGACACAGGCTCCTGAGCCTCTCCATCCACCCTCTCCTGAAGTCCAAGTGAGGACAAAGCCTCACACTCAGCTCCTTTCATTTCATCCCCTCCCACACCACACAAGGCACTGCACAAGCAGCCAAGGCCCTCATGGATCCTCCTGGCCCAAAGACTTCAATCTTGAGGGCAAAGGCTAAAACAACTACATGAAAATGAGAGACATAAAGGGGCAAACACTTGTCCCATCTTGTACCATCACTTGTCAGCATCTTCTAATCTGATCCAAGGCTGCAAAAGGCTTCTTGCAGCTCAGCCTGGAAATTACTGCGTACCATTACAGAGATGATAAAAAGCAAGGAACAAAATAATTGGAGAAGGAAAAAGCCAGGGCTTTGCCCTGGGGTGGGGAGGCACACTGGGACAGGCTCCAGCTCCAGACAGGCCATTTTTAGCCAAAGGAATCACAAATACAATTAACTTCTTAGTTGACTTGGCTACAAAGAGGGAAAGGCTCCATCTGATAAGCAGTGCTTGTTCTTACTCTGCTGCTGAACTGACTTCTAGAAGTAACACGCAGTGTTTTTCAGCATCTGACAAGCCATGAGATGTGAAGATGAGTTAATGTACCTGTAAATTCACTGGGTTTGTTTCCTGACTTTTATATTTTCCTTTCCTGTGCAGCTCTGATACTTTAAAGCTTTTTCTACTTGGATTTGGTAAGTGCTAACACAGAGTCTGAGGCCAGAACCCATAATGGACATTTTACAACATGTATAACTGGCTGAGTGAATCTTTCCAGCAGCTCCTGTTGGTTTCAAACACATTAGTCTGCCAGGAGACACATCTAAGGAGGAACCACCACCCTTCCCTGAAAAGGCATTGATGCTTGACCTCCTGCATCCCACTCTGTGGTTTTTTTCTGAAAGGCTGTCCAGGGACTATTTCATACAACCATAGAACATCTTGAGCTGAAGGGACCCACGAGGATCATCAGCCCAACTCCTGCCCTGCACACCCCAACAAGCCACCCTGTGCCTGACAGCACTGACCAAACACTCCCTGAGCTCTGTCAGGCTTGGGGCTGTGACCACTGCCCTGGGGAGCTGTTCAGTGCCCAAACACCTCTGAGGGAAGAACCTTTGCCTAATATCCAACCTAACCGTCCCTGACACAACATCAGGAGTGTATCTTCCAAAAGATCAGTGCCTGCTCCTTCACGGCCCCTTGTGAGGAGCTGCAGCCTGTTTCTGTCACAACAGAAGTGATTTGCACTGGGGTATTCCCAGCTCTGTCCAGGCCTGCACACCTTGCTGAGCTCAGGGCACCCAGTTGGGCTCTTTTTGGCTCAGGTTTCTTTCCAAAACAGAAGCTAGACAAGGACCAATGTGTGGATTTTGAAGCTCAAAGAAAGGAGAACCTTAATCTGACCTTGTGTTCTTGCATCTCTCATAGGAGGAAAGTCACTCACACCTTTCTGAAAGCAGGAAAGAACAGTTCTGGAATGCTGTTTCTCCCTTCTGGAGAACATCCTGTGCTGCCACAGACTGTGCTGGGAGAAGGAGCCCTGAGAGCAGGGTAGGAGGCAAAGGGAACCTCCAGCTCTTGCTGACACCTTTTGCCCCACAGCCCTGTAGGTATGCTCTGCTCACTTGGCTGCCCACACACAGGACTATGTGGGTCTGAGGGGAGAGCACAGCTCTGGGTTTGTTCCTACCTGTACACCACAACAGGGATCCTTTTCCATGACCTAAAAGAAGCCACGTTCTCCAGCTCTTTATCAGTGATCCATACAGGGACCAGCAGTTTCTGGGGATAACTGGAACAAAGCCTGAAAGAAAAAAAGCACAAAGGCAAGGTGAGGACTGGGCAATCAAGAATCTGCCCCAGAGAAGCTCAGACTTCCTCAGATTCACCTTGCAGGACTTTAGCTCTTTGTATCTGTCTCAGCAGAGCTTCAGCATGGGAAAAGTGACCAAAAAAGTGCTGTCAACAATGACAACTTCCTCAGGCCTCACCTCCAGGCCCACGCTAAGTATCCCAGTACTTCTCAAGGATGACTTTAGATCATCCTCTGGATTTACGAATGGAGCTTCATTAGGGTTTTGGGGAATAGTAATTAATTTGTGAGAAGCTTTGGTTTTCTCGCAGCATGCCCGAACCCAGATACACACAGAACTCCTGGTGAATGAGGACCTGCCACTTCCTGCCCTGCAGGTACCACTGCTCACTCTGACATGTTTCTGTGTGAGGAAGACCCAACTCTGCCCAGAAAGAGGGGTGTGGGGTCTGTGTGTATGCTGAGAAAGTGACAGGAAGGAGATCTAAACAATATCCTGTTTGGTGGGTGCCAGGAATCAGATTCCTAATAGATATCTGACCATGTGGCAACAGGGAGAGCAGAGAGAGCTGACAGAGAGAAGGTTTAGATGAGATGTGCAGAAGGAATTGTTCCCTGTGAGGGTGCTGAGGCACTGGCACAGGTTGCCAGAGAAGCTGTGGTTGCTCCATCCCTGGAAGTGTTCCAGGCCAGGTTGGATGGGGCTTGGAGCAACCTGAGCTAGTGGAAGATGTCCCTGCCCACAATGGTGTGGAACCAGATGAACTTTAAAGTCCCTTCCAACCTGACCCATTCCATAATCCTATGAAGTACACACAAAATTACAAGAGTGGAGAGACTTCCTGGCTCCTGCAGCTCTTCCCCTGCCCCTGCTGCTCACAGGTTCAGACACAGCAGTGCCTGGAAGCTGCAGCAGCAGAGCTCCCCCAGCCCAGGTAGGCACAGGTGGGTACATGGCAAGGAACATCAAAGAGCAGCTC